CTCAATATCTCTTCTTTAGTCCTCACTCTTCCATCTTTCCTCGTAACTCCCTTCTCTGGTGCCTTTGTCTTTTTCTTCTCGACGGGTTTACCCACTCCTCCCATAACCTCATCATCATCATCCTCCTCATCTTCATCTTCATCGTCAGTATCTTCTTCATCCTTGAGTCCTGTATTGACATTATCAACATCACCACTTGCCCTCTCCTCCCACGTATACTCATCGGTAGCCTCATTTAATGCATATTCTCTTATCCTTGGCCCAATCCAATCTGCTGCCCATTTCCAGGTTTCTTCAATATCTTCCCCGCTTCCCGCACCATCTATCTGTAGATTGCGACCCTCATCAACCCAAGTCTCTACTTGCGGTTCTAGCTTTTTGCGCAGTAGTTGTAGAAGAAGCCCCTCTTGTGTGCGGCCAGGGAAATTGGTAGAGGGGAATGCGACGATTCGAGAAAGAAGTTCACTATTGCCTGCGAGGTGATCGGTGACGGATTGGATATTTGTGCTTAGAATCGATGAAGATGTCATTATTGAGGAGCTGTTATTGACTGGTCAGTAAAAAATGAATGCGCAATCCAGAATGCGACAAGTATGGGAAGCTACGAACTATTCGGGTAGAGGTGCGCCCCTCTGGAAATCAGCTTTCAGAGATGCGATATTAGCAGTCAAATGTAAGAGACGCTGACGAGTCTGCTCGAGAGCTTTGATATCTTCTTGCTGAAGTGCCATGATTGCGATTTTGGGTGTTTGTCGCAAGAGTGGTTGAAAATGGTTGTGATATTGATCTTGAGGTTCAGACTCGGTGGGCTGGACCGGGCTTTTAGCGCGGAACAAAGCCGTGGGGTATGGCAATATTTAGGGTGCTATGGTTGGATGAACCACTAAAATACAGCATCAATTTAATGAATTGTTTCAACTACAAGCAGATCCCAATCGATGATACACCTCTGGGTGATGTAAATGTTTGTTTATACCTAATCTTTCCAAGTAAAAATGATGAGAAGGACTCAAGATGAGATCCAATACATAGTGTAGTATTCACTTGTTCTTACTCATTTCCCTCTCCAAGAGCACTCTCAATGCATTCAGCAGGAACTTGAGAAGTGCTTTCCTCCACAGATTTCTTTCCAGTCGTTATGAATGTAATGTTGCAGCTCTACAGCTTCCTTCTTCAGACGCTCAAACTCTTTTACATACTGACCACGTACTAATCGGCCACATCTTTGTCTCGGCAACGGCAAGGTCCCGAGTCTGTATCTTTCTTGACGATCTACGCTCCAGGAAGGCCAGAAGAAACTGTGCAATTCAAAGATCCTTGGCATCGACATGCTTGTATGAGTTGAAAACCATCTTTGGGGACCTTTGAAATAGAGCACAGGTTCAAAGTGTGATGTGGAGGGCTCAAAAAACCTAAACTTGCCGATGGTCGTTGGTTTCAAGCACTGAATCCAACGAAGAAGCTGCGACGCAGTCCTTTTTTATTTCCACCTTGAAAGAGAAACCAGTCTCAGATTCGTGGACTGGTGAGACAAGCTTTGCAACCAAAGAACCCATTCATGAGTGTTATGAACCTTGAGTGTAGCCTTCGGATACCTTGAATCTCTAGTATTGATCAAAGCAACGGGATTATGTTCTAGCATTGCATTTTCTTGAGTTGGCGTCGCCGGAGCTTTGTATCTTGCTCTATTGCCACTTCTAGACGATAAAGCTCCAATTGTGATAGTATTATGTTGGAAAGAGGGGCCACCTCATCGATCATCAATGAGCATACTGTTCAACATTGAGACATCCATCATAATCTCCATATTTGCCTTTGTAATCGGACCGGGACACCCTAATACAGCTGTCACTTAGTTCTGAGTAGTCTAGTTTACTACACTTGGCCTTCCACTTTAACTTCCCAATATATCCTATATCAACTACCACACCCTTATTTTCAAATTGGAATGGGTTTCAGCAAAGTGCTAGAAACGTTGCTCGCTTTTCTGTTCTGCATCAGAAGTCCTGCTATCTCTCCTTCATTCTTAGCATGATCATGGATCTTGTCGCAAGCGCCTTTTCGTGACCAATGCCTGAGAGCTTTTTCTTGTTGTTGGTGGTGAATGTAAATGTTCAAAATACTGATCTTATCATGAAGAGGGGCTTCATATCTGTTCGACGGGATATCTTGGAAGATATCTTCTTTTATGAAGCAAAAATGACATCTAGTAGTTACACAGGTTTAGAGTTATCAAGAACATTCACTGACAATATTTAATACTTGTAGGTTTTTCTTATGTTCCGAGGTTATAATGTTTCTGCTTCACCGGGTAATTGTTCTACCTTTTCTTTGAAACTGTTCTAGTGAATTATCTCTGCTTATGAACCTTCCCTGATTTTACCACTGAAATATTCACCAATTCTTGCCACTTTTGATGTTGTCACTTTATTTCTGGCCATCAAGCTTAGAATCCTGGCTCAATGTGGGAATCAGAAAGTTTTGACTCAAATACAAGGTACATCATTGAACTCATAGTATAGTCAAAATGAGAGCAGTCAAGTTGTAGGATCAAGCCGTAGTTGCATGCCAGTTCGTTCTTTTATTAGACAACACCTTTGTGCGCGCCATTTCTCGTGATGCTTTTGATCCTTTGTGAACTTAAGTCCACAAGTTTTGTTTATGGTTGATGTAATCTCCGCTTGATTTAAAATATCATTATCAACTGCTTATATTTCCCTCGTTTCGATGCACTAGAACAACACTCTCCCCGGAAGGATGCCCCATTCTGCTTCGTCGATTTCATCACCGTATATCTCCTTGACACCTTCTTCACTTTCAACGCTCCATTTACTCCTCTCTATCAAGCCCCATAAAGTATCAAGGTCATGGGCGTTGCTGACACCAGAGTCTCCTGTTTGCGAGATGATATTCTCAAGGTCTTTAACAGCATTGTTGATATCCGAGCGAAGAGCTTGATTTTCATCATCTCTTCCTTCAACTCCATTATCTTCAAGTTGCAACTCTAGAGGTTCAGATATTTGAGATACCGGATGATATGGATTTCCATTTTGACATGATTTTTTGACACATTCATTCGCCTGAGCCTGAATATGAAACTCTCTGTCTGCTAAGTAATTCGTAGACATGCGCCATCGCTCTTGCTGTGCTTCATACCACGAGATGATGTATTGAGAAATACTCAGTACAGCCAGTTCAATGGCGAGAACGATAAGTTGTTTTGTCCAGAAGTCAAGGCCTTCAGATGTCGGATGATAAATAGAAATTGGCAGGAAGACTTCTAGCAAGTATTGAGGAGTGGGATAAAAGAATGATGATCCATACGGAAGATCGAGGACAGTGTTGAAAAGGTAGCGAAAAAGATTGTCCCAAATACAATGTAGGTAAATTGCGACATGGTTGATACTTGATAAATGAATCGCAATTATTGGGAGAGATTGATTGAAGAACGTTCCGTGGTGGTGGATGATAGCTCTCTGGAAAAGGTAGAGGAAATAAATGGAGGAGAGGACATATGTGTAGAAGATGAAATTTGAGGCTCCCTCAGCGGTGATTTTCAAGATGGGATTATCGCAATCAGGGCGGAGAATCTCAAAGAGGATTTGAGAAGTCGTGAACGAACTCAAAGTTGTTTATGGATTGAGAATGCATTTTGATGGATATCATGCTATGATTCAAGCTTCAGATCAATTTGATGACTTTGATGGTGGTTCGAGGATAAGAAGGCCGCAAGTTACAGGTTACGAACATCTTGAAGGTCTCTGGCAGATAAAGACATCTGAAGGATGGTTTTGGTAGTGAATCTATATTATATTGTACTAATATTCACCTGCATCTCTTGACGTTTGGACCTCTTCTTTACGACCGGCAAGTGTCGGCGCCAGATTCATTGCAAGTTGCATCACTACTAAGGATATATCTCTAAGAACTCTTGATAAAACTGCCAACACCAGTTGAGACGCCTTTCTCTCAACACCTCAATTGCATTTTGAAGGGATTGATCTGAAGAATAAAATTCATGGCAAGGATTTTCTCATACTGAAGAGGCTGTGAAGTGAATTTCACCTAAAATGTGGACTTTGGTAGCCACAATATGCCACGCAGCTAGAAATGAAGTATCTGCCCAGGTGTATTTAGGTACTAAATCAAGTCTACTAGCCACGGATTCTACCCACACTGCAGAGTGACTAGAAAGTGCTCAGATGCACTCCCAAACCTTGCTTATCAATCACTCTATAACTACATCGGACGCACATCTGTGAAATTCTAACTCAGTTCTAGCAGAATGCCATATTCAGCACGCCATACCCGCCTATAGACAGTAGACAGTTCTAGAAGGGCTCCAATACCAGAGTTTTGATATGGTTTGAGGAATCATATCTGGGTGTTTCCCATATTCACTAAGTATGTAACAATTACCGGATGGAAACTCGTGCTGAAGGGGTAATTCATACCTCAAATGTGTGGCGTCATGAAGATTCTCACGATGCGTGCTTCTTCGACAAACTGTGATATGTGGATGGATCGTGTTTTCATTTCACGGCTATCTTGATTGGTGTTTAGTGAGTTCAAGCACATTCCTCAACCACAACAAGCATTCTCCTCTTAGCAGCATCTTGGCAGTTATGCTACTACTACTAATGAAATCAACACTCCAATAAAGGAAAATCCCGAAATCCTCGGTGAAAGGTCCAATAGAATCTCTATTTAGTGTTAATTTGCCATCAAGCACGAGATTTTGTAGACTGTTTTGATTCTGCATTCCCATGTTTGATATTCTGCCCATACGGAGATTCATTCCTAACAGGTTTGAACCTCAACAATGGGGCTCGAATCTGAATCACAACATTGAGGAAATTGAATATATAATCACGATGTAATTCCTTCTTTCCTTCTTCTCGTACATCAGGAACCAACTTGTATACACTCTTTCTTCCAAATCAAATAAATAGTCTTCAAGACATACCACATTCACTTACTTGAAATTTAAAATTTTCATCATGAAGACCCAAACAATTCTTTCAATTCTTTTGGCTACGGCCCATCTTGCAGTCGCTCAGGAGCCAATCCGTGAGCCTGAAGCTGAAGTCGCAGGTGGTTAGTACTCGCGATATTTTTACAACTGTGAGCAATGAGATTAACCTTTATAGACCGATTCCCAGTCCCAGCAACAAAGGAGACTACAATTGCCCAGGCTTTTGGATCATCAAACTCGGGAGCCAATCAGCAAGCAATTTGCCAATGTTACGACGATGATGGAACTAACTCCCCATCTTTGACTGCTGCTACCAGCCGTAAGAGACCCCTTCTTGTTCTGTGCTAAACCACAACTAAAATTATGATTTATAGAGGAGCAAGGTGCCAACTCAGACAGTGGTACTTCATTCACCCACATCGTAGACACTACTCCCCCCAAGAGACCATGGAAGAGACAAGGTGGTGGACAGGTCACCGATCAGGAAGCTCCTGAGGCACCGAGCGCTGCAGGAGGATGGAAGCCAAAGCCAAAGCCAAGCAAGCCAGAAGAAGCCGCTGCATCAGCATCTGTTGATGCCACTCAAGTCGGTATCAATGCTGCTGGTGGTGCCGGATCTGCTTCAGGTCCATGGGGAGCCGTCTCCTATGCTGGCCCCTCCATTGGTGCCAACTATCAAGACATTGATGGAAACTGTGTTTGCCCACCAGGGAAATCTCCCCACAAGCCAAAGGGACCAACTGAAGGTGGCGCAACTGGTCCATCGACTGGCGGCCCATCGACTGGCGGCCCATCAGGAGGCGGACCATCAGGAGGCGGACGCCCAGGGGGAAACGGCAATGGGAGCGGAAACGGAAATGGCAACGTAAGAATATTCAATTTTATGACCCAAGAATCCTCCTTGAATTAACGTTAAACTCTCTGCAACCGGCTTTGAATAGCTTAAAGAATACTAACTGATCATATTATAGGGCAACGGTAATGGTAACGGTAATGGTAACGAGAACGAGAACAAGAATGAGAATGAGAACGAGAACTTGAATGTAAGAAAATCGCAGATGTCTAGCTTCCTTTCCATTTTCAATAATTCTTTCCACAAAAAACTTCTTGATATACCGACTAATCATTCGCAATAGGCCAACATCAACAAGAACGAGAACGTTAACATCAACGGCAACGCTAATGCCAACATCGTAAGTGCACTCATTTTACCGAGATTCCGTACCCTTGGTCTTGTCATGAATAGTTACTAATTTAGATAGAACAAGAACTTGGGACTCAACTTCGGTAGCAACAACAATGGATGGGGATCATGGTTCGGAAGCAAGGCCGCTGCCGCCGCCGCTGACCCCGCCGCCTCCGGTACTCCAGTCGCCGCCAGCGATGCCTCCGGCGTTGTCGGTGCCACTGATGCATCATTCGTCCCCGAACTCTCCACTGGAGACGCTTCCGGTGTTGAGCAATTCACCGGTGCTGGATCCAGCATTGTTATCTCCGCATGGGGATTCCTCGCTGCCGTCTTCGCCATTGCCAACGTCTTGTAGATTGAGTATCGGTATACTTAATCCGTCTCTTCGTTTGTCTGTGGAACTATTGGGCTTTATTTTTATTTTTTATTCATCGCGGTTTGCATGTTTGGTTTGGGGGTTCTTTCGATTCGAGAGCAGCACGTCTCTAAGATTATGTTTGCATTATATTGGAGATGGGCAGATGAGGCATTTTTGTGATTTTTAATCTTAATTGAAAAGCAGTTATTGTTGAATCAATTTGGTACCTGTGAATCTATGAGATGACTTTGCGTGATTCGTGATTGTGGGTAAATCACTCGACTTGTGGAAAGTTTTACTGGCTTTACATAACGATTCCTCCCATATTTATCTCTTAAACTCTTCCTTTTTGACAGCAAAGCTAATCGCTATTCTTATATTCCAAATACTAATTTTTCGTCTTTAGTTAAGTCATGCATGGAGCACTACATTTAGATGAACCACTTTCTGTCTATACTCAGAGAATCATCAACCATCCGTCCCATCGATCTCGCTTCCAATGCTAGCAACGCTTTCCAATCAACTTTGATCGGTTCTCCACTTCATACTGTCGACTACAAATTCAAAAACTCTCATTGCCCACCATTATAAGTGATCTTAAACAGATTTGTTCTAATATAAGAACTTCTTTCAGAGTTGTTGTATGGCCCCGTGGTGGATCTTGTTTGCGATGTACTTTACACAATTGAGCTAGCTAATTTCTGAGACTATCTCCCTTGACGGAATTGGATCTCCAAGTGATAGTACTGCATCACTCAGCTTTGACATTGACATAACATTATTAGCCGTCTTGCATGTAACTTTGCATACAAGTCCTGGGTATTCGAACGTAATTCGTCCGGAATATGTGTAGCAACGCTGAGGTCACTGCAAATTTGTGACTTTAGCCGATGAAAAGTAGTATCTTAAAATGCATGCTAAATAGGTATCAATATATACAACCGAGAACAAGAGAGAATGTCTAATCACTGTCCAACACAATAACTTCCGCTTCGGCCTCACCGATGCTTTCAACGCCCAGGATATCCCCTGCCTTGACACCTTCGACAAATGCTCCATCACCCTCTGAAAGGACAGCTCCTTCTCTACCGTCTAATCTGATTTTTGCGTTGCCTCCTTTGGTCATGGGAACATGGATATAGACTTTTCTGTTCTCGGCACTCTTTATTGCCCCTCCACCAACAGTCCATTTAAATCTTTTGTCTACTCCAATGATTCCCGCAGCCATGACGAAGTCGGCATGTATGGGTATAGTATCTGGGAGTGTTGGTTCTGCAGCTTTCTCCTCTTCTGCAGAAGCACCTGGACCAGCTTTTAGTGGTGAGAGGATTGGTAAGAACGCTGATCGCTTAGCGTCTTCAGAGAAAGTTTTGGTATGGTATCGTGGAGTAAGTGATCTAGCCCAGGGAAGGGCCCAAATTTGAAGGAAGTGGACTTCCTCCTTTGATTCATTTTGTTCCGAGTGTGCAATGCCTGCGGGGTATTTAGTTAGCATAAACTCTAATCGTCTAATAAAATTATCAACATACCACTTCCACCAGTTGTGAACTGAACATCCCCCCTCTTCATTCTGTAGAAATCGTCTCCCTCTTTTCCCTCAGCTCCCTTCTTGATCATACTATCCCTGTGAGTCAATTCTCCACTCAGAATATAACTGAAGATCTCGGCATCGCGATGAGGATGTGTAGGGAATCCTGTGCCACCAGCGACACGATCTTCATTGAGAACTCGCAAACTTCCAAAGTTTTGGAATTGACTGTCATAGTAGTTTGCGAAACTGAATGTATGGTAAGAGTTGAGCCATCCGTGATCAGCATGGCCACGAGCGGAGGATCTTCGAGGGGTAATTTTAGCGTGTGAAAGTGCTTTAGACATAGTTAACTTGATAGCAGATGAAGTGCTCATAGAAGATTGAGTTGCAAGTGAGTCTGTTTGTGTTACGGTCGCTGATCTATTGTTCGTGAAGAATTGAAAGATCTGTGATAGTGGAGTACTGCTGTTGTAGAAGAGTATTGAAATTGATGCAATGAAAATAGAGGACAAGAGGATGAAGAGCTTCATATATAGACTTCCGGCACGTCTGCTGGAATATGAGAGATGAAGAAAGATAACTTATACTTTACATGAAGATGAGGAAATGATTACTTATTGATTTGAGATTGATTTCTTTGATCACTTTTACCTTACTGATAGCCACTGGGCTGGTCGCTGTGGGTTGATTTTTGATGCTGATGAAGGTATTGTCAGCAACTTATTCAGCAGACTGACGACGGGAACGCTAATCATATTGGGTTAGCCCGCCAAGCACAGCGAATGACATTATCAAACACGTGAATACGCGACTGGGACAAAGTCACGTTCATTGATGTCGCGTCTCCACAACAACAGTCGGTTCAATTCTTGAACAAATACTTTATCTTTACTATAATTGCTCAACCTTTTTGATACATCTGATTCAAGGCAAGTCGCCTGAAACGAGGCCTTGTTCGATTATCTGCTAACCATTATGATCAATTTTCAGACTCCGAATGTCATAACAGTGTCGCTGTTCATTCTTGATATCTGTAAAAGAGTTCAACTCGTGATCATCAATGCCTGGAGGTCCTGAAATTTGGGAGGTCAGTGATGATTCCTCCACATCGGGAACTGACACGGAGAACGATTCTCCTCCTGCTGTCGACAGATCTCGCAGCAACTTCAATGCACCTTCTGTGAGAACCCAAGAAGATGCATTTGTGAAATTGAAAACAAATCTCCGGAAACATTTTGATAATCTAGGTATTGGTACTTCATTCTCCCACAAAGGTATTCTCCCGAACGCACCCAATCCAGGAATTTCAATTCACGGCTATGGTACAATTGGATTCCCACTCACCGAGCATGACTTTGAAAAAATAATGGCAGCAAGCGGTTCAGAATCTGGCGAGTCCTTTGGAGATATACTTACTCCATCCAATGTATATACCATTCCCGGCAACAAGATATCTACGCGAAATCCCGCTTGGACATCAGTGGTTCAATCAATACTAGAAAAAGTGAAGGTTGGGCTGGGATTGGAGAATAAGAGTGCTCATGCAGAGCTGTGTGCTCTCGTGTATCACTCACCTGGAAGTACCGCAGAGATGATTAAGTAAGTTCTGAGGTCCTCGCAAGTTTACTGGGTTCTAACAAGACATGTAGCTCAGTTCGGATGCCATCTAGAGACAACTTTGGAATGTTAGACATAATTCTACCATCTGCTAGAGAGAGCGAAAAGTTCATTCTTGAACACAATGGGAAGAAAGTCCAATTTCAGAATAACGGATGTTCAGAATGGGACTGCTCATTTCTTTCATGGGTTGTGATACCCTTCTTGCATTGCCAGTAAATCAAACTAACCAACCTAAAGTTCACAGATGTATCGGTGAAGAGTACACCATTATCCTCGGACCACCGCCTTATCCTCAGGTATGATCTTCAGCATACCCTACCAGGAGAGACTAGTAAGTGGAACCAAATTACTTGATGTCTTTTTCCAAGCCCCTCATTGCTTTCATGTTTGCATTATCGTATTCCTCCTTGCAACAAGATAAACAATCAAGCCAGGAGTCCAAACACCTTCTGACGTACCATATCTTAGGCTCTGCTACAGCTTTAGAAACTTCATTATCTAATCTACAAAGCATATTGGAACCCTGGACAAGAGACAGCATGTTAGTTCCAGAAAACATATTGGGATATGTGCTTTCGGAAGCCGACCAATCTGATATTTCTCTCCATAAGCTCCGCGGAAAGGATCGTCTTGTTGCCAATTAGCTCAAGGAAGTTTGCGTAAGGAGCAATTTTGAGCTCTACTTGGCAACGTTGCAGAAAGAAGCCAGTGGCCCAACTGAACCGCCTGGACATGACTATTATGGTTACGATGAAAAATACGACGAAAGTCACGTCATGGATGAAGTGGAGGAGGAATCATTACATCTCACCAAGGTTGTAAATCTCGATGGTGAGGCGCTATATGCAGATCTTGAACTTTTTGATGAGAAAAACCTCATCAATGATGACGACCCTCTTGACGGTGCCTGCACGGATTCAGAGAACTACGATGATGAATATATGACAAAATATTATGGTGCTCCTGTAAGTTCATCTGCTAATAACTATAGACTGCCAGACGGCTGAAAGTGCAAAGATAATAGTCCTCATACCTCGAGCTTTTCGATTCCAATTCATATTAGGCAAATTAGGTAAATGGGACAGTGACAGAAACGAATGTGTCCTCAAATATACTGCAGATTTGGGGAAAATCACTTCCGAATCCTCTGCCGCTGACCGGGAAGAAATGAAAAAAGTGTGCGAAGTAGTACTTGCGAAAAGCGAAAGCTGTTGGCCGAGTAATGTCCTGTCGGGGTTCTCGCATAGGGTATATCTCTTGGTGATCAGCTCGATAATAGACCTTGATGACAAAGTTCTTCTTGAATGCACATTACCAACTTGCTTCTCAGGCCCTGAATATCAGCCGTTACTAGATAAATTGAGAGAGAAAAAGGGACCTCTATGGATACTGGCTAGGTATGTTTCAACCAGAAATGCTAATATTGACTCGCTGACGGTGGTATCAGAGCTGAGTCATATGTTTCTACGATCCCAACTCTCGGTGATCGGTGCAAAGCGATTAAAAATCTATCTCAATATCAAGTGGAGACTGATTGGTCCTCCAAGCAATATGAATTAGCATTATTGGCATGTGCGCAATCTCTGAGTGTATCCGATGTAACACAATTGATTCAAATAGCAAGAGTCTTGTCTGAGAAACAGATCATTGAAATGTATGCTTGTTATGATTCTTTATCGATGGACTCGACTAATTGACGTCAGTTTCCTCCCAGCCATCAAAGCGTGTCTGAAAAAGCAACAAATGCTGTGCTCAATCTTGACGCATATCTCAAGAAGTCTTTCATTAAGCGAACGCACACCTCAGCCACTTGATCTAGTTTTCAAAGATGTATTGTCAACTAATATTGATCGATTGGATGTATTGAATTTCAAAGACTGGCCGGACGACATTGCCTCAGCAGAAGGCGAGGCTGGTTACCCTGCCAGATACCAACTAGGTAGAACGTGGCAACAGCGGAAGTACCGGAGCATAGCCCTCGTTGTTTGTCGGGCTTACCAGAAAGAGATGTTCCCCGAGCTCGAGCATCTCTTCAGAGGACTTTGCGACCAAGCTCAATCTGTGAAATGGGCTTTTTTTTAACGATACATTCATGCCATTCCTCGAAGCTCTGGCTAATTCTATACGCAATGTTATTCCAACCGCAATTAAGGCACCATTATTCAAGCAATTGTTTCAGACCATTATACGCTCTTATTTCATACGTTATCATGCAGAAAGACCTGTCAAGCCCGTAAGATGGACTCGCGACATTCGAGGATGCAATTCGAACTGCCCGGACTGCAGATTACTAGATGAAGTTTTATTGGACCCTACTAGACAAAAGTATGTGTTCTATTTGAACGCACAACGAAGAGGGCACCTGGAAACTCAACTTTCCTCCGATATCCAGAATGGGCTCATCAAGACTTCTATTGTTAAAGATCGTAGTCCGTATGGTTTGGCATTGGAGAAGACTCGCGATGTTTTTGGCCACAAATACCGCAAGTGGTCCCTGGCAGCAAAAGAGTTAACGTTACGTATGGAAATACTGGGTGGAGAAGTAATAGATATCTTGTCAGAGGAGCATTACGAGACACCATTACCTAGTATGGCAAAAGCATCCGACGATAATATTCAGCAGGCCAAGAAAGACATTGCTACAGTCATTGCTAAACACCGAGCCACGTTAGAAGCCCAAAATTCTTCTTCACGCGAAACTTTGGCTTCACCGAACGGCAATACGATTAGTGGTATTGGTATGGGTGAGAAGAGAGGCTTCTCTCCAGATGTTTCCGCCACCAGTGGAAACCCTGTATCTGATGAAACACAAGCAAAGCGACTTCCAGCATGGAATCAATGGCAAGAGCCCACCAAATAGTGACTTTGCCGTTCGATTATAAATGCTGTTAGCATAAAGAGTGCTCTTTTGGAAGAATCTCAGCCTCACATATCCTCTACTATAAATCGAAGGGTTTGAAATATTGAGTTTCGTTGCCGACCAGAATCCTTGTATGTTATGTAGGATATGTACAGGGAGATGGAATGTATTATTGTTTTGCGAGAGATACTTAGGGTAGCTAGGATTGCTGGGGAAAGAACTGATGTGTATAGCTATGTAGCAACCATTTATCGGAATTATCAAACCTTCATTGAAGAAGATTATTTTGCAGTCTGATGTGAAAAATAGTGCACTTTGTATACACACCTATGACATAGCAATGAAAGTCCGACGTTTGGCAATGGAACAATCCCTCAGACGGATTCAGCTAACTGAGAAGGCGGACTGGTGTCTCAAATGCGCTACACCTATAATTTCGACTCGTTCTTTCCCCATACAGGCATATCCGATTCTGTTGTGCAAAGAATGAAAGTATCCTTCAAACTTCCCACCCTGTGTCTGTGATTTACTTCCTGATAATCTTCACTAGCAAGCATATCTGCAAAATGTTCAATACTCGGATAATGTGCCACGGCAACCTCATCCCATTCACCTCTTTCCTTTGAATCTCCCTCATATATGACAGTTCCCACTATCTTGGCAATACCACCTCGTTTCGAACCAATGGACTTTGCAAATTCGGCTCCATATTTCAAATATTCTTCTTTGAGTCCCGGTTTGAATGCTAGGAGATTGAGCATGGAGACTGCACCTCGCCCTTCTTGGTTTCTATAGGTTTTGATCCATTCCATTAATGGAGGAGACAGCTCGAGGGACTGAGCTGAAGCTTTTGCACGATAGTTGTTTAAGCTTCCTGTTAGAGGCGGTGTGTCTCCAGGTCGTGGATCAAGTAGTCGTCTATTCTTGGACGCAAAATTATGAAGTAATCGCGAAGGTATTCCTGCTGTCACCTGCCATTGATGAAGGATAAGGTTTTGTAGTGAGGCTGGAAGAATGTCGGTATTGGGCAAGATCATCAGAACATCCCAATGGATATTACGTGCGATAAGTGGGTCGATCGATATCGATGTCGGAAGAACGATCCAACGCACAACCCTACCAACTGTGAGTGGGGTGAGAGAAGTCGTTGAAAGGGCTGAGAGGAAATCGGTAATGGTGACGGAGAGAGAAAGTAGATGAAGTGTGCAGGCTGGCATGGTTGCTGTGTTGTGGGAGTGGACTAATCCGCCACCAACTTGTGTTATGTGCGTTGTATGGTATGTATGAGGGGACAATGATACAATAAGGAATCTTGAAGACAGTGTAGGGAAATCTTGATGTTAAAATGATATCGACGCGTGGAACTTATCATAACAAGCCCAATCCAACGGTGCGATGCCCCTCCATCACTACCGTGTAGATTAGGCCTAAAATTGGAACCGAGGCATAGACAGACAGCCCCTTCATTTTCATCGGTCCACCAGTCCTTTCCCCCCAGTCCTTTAAGCGATTCAATCATCAATCATCAATCAAAATCAAAATCAAAATCAAAATCAACCCATGGATTTCCTCAAAGAAATTCTTTTCCCAATTGCATACCGGTACCTTTGCTTCAGACCAATTGAGATGTCGGACAATCAATGAGCTAAAGTAGTCGATGTCTGGGTGTAAAGTATATAAGTATCTCATGATGGAATAAGTTTCCGCAATGTTGTTCTCGCATGCATCCAAGGCTACGAGGACAAGCATCCACGGAGCTAATCACGGTTATCACTAGGTCAACGAATAGGAAAACTTCCCTTCATGTCAATAATGATCATGGCTGGTCTGGAACTCGTGTTTATCGTCAGAACGGGGCTGGAGACTGGGCCACACTCATGTTTGGATGTAGATGTTTTGTAGCACTCACTGTTCAATACAGACGACGATTACTTCTGAACGACTGTATACTTCAATTGAAACCTGACGGACAAGAGGGCTGGGTTAAGGAGAATCGGTGCTGAGCTGCACAGCTCTCCACTCTCAATTGGAAATTCTTACTGGCGACAATAATGTGATTAACATCAACTAGTAGAATAGCCTCCGCCAGCATTTTTATTTTTCAACCTTCATCTTCATCTTCAGATTCAGATTCAGATTCAGATCCAGCATGAAACCCGATTCATCGCCTGTCCTTTGGACGTTGATAAGTCTCACAACAATTGCAAAGTCGCAGACCTTACCATATAATCCTACCACGATACTTCTCCCATCGAGCTCAAGCCAAAGAAACGACACTGCATTTATCTTCCTCGTCGCCTCTGAATCAGACACTAGACCGGAGTTTTTATCCCTAAATATATCTTCAACCTTATTCGCTTCGAATCTCACATTAGAATCCTTTACGCCTAATCTTTCGTTTCTCGACAACAATACTGCTTTTATACCTACGATTGGGACGGACGGCGAAATTTCATTGCTTACTGGTTCTTGTTCGGAATCTGCCAGCACTGAGTTATGGACTTATACACTTGGAAATGGAGCTGTCGGGAATGGGACATGGGCAAAAGAGACGACTATTGTGTCCAGCGATATTTCCTCGGCTGGTCGCGCAGGCGCGCAATTTTTGTCGGGTGGTTTCCAGTTCTCTACATTGGTCAACGCAAATGCTACAAATACGGATATCTATATCTATGGTGGCATGTGTCCCACTGCTTCGGTGAATACAACGACATGGCAATCGAATGCCAACTATACGAACCGTATGATGCGAATATCACCTGCATCGACAGATTCGTACAGTTTGGATTTAACTGCTAACAGAGGAGCACCTGTTGCTGAGGCGGGATTTACTATCACACCTCTGCTTCCTGCTTATTCGAATGCTTCGGGAATTATGTCACAAACTCAAAATTTTATACTTCTCGGTGGACATACACAAGGCGCATTTATAAACATGAGCCAAATCGCTATCTGGAGTCTTCCCGAGGAGAGCTGGAGCTTTGTCACGGTCAACCCACCATCTTCAACAGATAGTTCCAACACAGAATTAACAGTAAAAAGTTCAGTAACCAGTGTCGATAGTCGTTCGGGGCACACCGCAATATTGTCAGAAGATGGATCTAAAGTCATTGTTTTGGGCGGATGGGTTGGTAGCGTTAATCAAGCTGCCGATCCACAATTTGCTATATTGGAACTTGGGACGGGCTATGGAGGAACTGGTCGTTGGAAATGGTCGGTACCTGCGGATCAGCCATTTGGAGATGGTATTTATGGGCACGGTGCAACAATGCTCCCTGGAAACGTTATGATGGTACTAGGTGGGTTCAATATAACAGCCGCCAACAATATGAAGAGAGCTGTTGACACAACTGTTCAACCCATGTTTTTCAATGCTACGAGCTCCACTTGGATTTCGAACTACACCAATCCAGCATATGTCGCGGCTAACGCTCGAAGCGATTCTTCGTCCTCGGATTCCTCGAAAGTCGGCCTTGGCGTAGGACTCGGATTAGGTATCGCTGCGTTCATCGCTATCGTTGCAGGACTTAGTTGGTGCTTGATTCGCTGCAGGAAGAGACGTAGAGATTCGAGGCACGAGGGGAGGGAAAAAGACCTCAGGTCTCTTGGCTACAACGCAGCCACTGCATACTTGGGCCCACAAGAAATGTATCAGACTCACAACTACTCTGATCGCCAAAATCATTATTATGACTCGGGAAACGCAGCGGGGGGATATGAAAGCCTGCATACTGGCGAATACGGCGCAGGAGAGATTGGCTCTCCCACACTTCAACCTCGGCAAATACCCAGGAAAGCTGTACGAAACAATCGAGGTGTTTACCAGCCTGCTTCGACCTTCGACCCTGGTGCAGTAGCTGGAAATGCTAGAGCAGCTAATATTAGTGCAGCTGGGCCGATACATCCAATATATGAAGCAGACGAAGACGCTGATATAATTTCTCCTATTGAAGTTGGGATTGCTCTTCCATTCGAAGAAAGCGACGCGTACTTTGGTGCGAAGCGACGATCGGATCCATTCAAAGATCCAGTTACTCAGAATTACTCAGTGCCCATACAATCTCACAGCCAAAGCATCAACATGCCTGTTTCAGAATCCCCGGCGCAAGAACGAGAACGTGAGATCGAAGCATGGGTTGCAGACTGGGCGGCTGCAGATGCCCTCCTTCACGCTCAAGCCAGATCTCATTCAACTATTGGGAGAAGTTCTCCTTCTCGACGAGCAAACTTAATAACAGCGACTGGTCCAGCCTCTGTTTCAGGGGAACTTTCTGAAGATAATGCTCGAACAGCCAGCAACCTTAGCGAGCAAAGTATGGCCCCCACTGCTGCTACTCTGAGTCGATCGGGATCCAGTTCCCTAGGAGCAAGATCGAATTCAATTAGAGGCTATTTAACATACGCGATGAATACCATTACTTTGGGAAATGCTACTCTGAGTCCGATGCCCGACAGCCCTGTCGCACAAAATGCTCAGATTTGCCCTCCTGGGAGTTCCGGTAGCGAAAATACTGGTTCAACTTACACCACCGCTCATACGCACTCAAGCTTTCCCACACTGCAGGCAGAAGCAGCTACGTTACTCCCTCGTCCAGAGCAGTTCACTGACCGCGTGCTTCCCTCCCCTACTGATTCCTCTTTCAAATCAACACCGCACACACCCACTAGGACGACACATGATTACATTGGCAGTCCATCAAAGACCAAGCCCATAGGTCTTGGTAGACGTGGATGGTTGGGGAGTCTGCGCAAAGCTTTCAGACCTGAAGGTGACACTACGGCAGAACCCAGTCCTGCAGATCGAGAGCCAATTCCTCTTCCAATTGGCATTGACAACTCGCCAAGAAGAACGGTGAGTGCTGGTGCGGCTTTATGGAGGAGGAAACAAGGTAGAGGAGATTGGGAGGATAGTGAGTACATTGGGACCAAGCGTGGGAGATCTAGTTCATTTGTTAATGGCGGTCGGTCGAGTGTACAGATTTCAAGGACTAGTGAGGCTA